ATCTCAATTAGGTGTAAAGATTTGGCTACCATTTTGATAATCAATTAATTATAAGTTGTTTTTATTCTACTTCAGCTGTTTTGACAGGTGATGTAATAATTTGCTTTAGTGGAAGGAAACTGAGTAAATTCAACTAACATTTGTATAAAAAAGATGCATTTAAGTAACTTTATTCAGATAGATTCTGTTTACATATTTTAAATATTTTTATATGAGAGTAACTTCAATTACCTGAATGGAATTAGTACAATTAATTTACCCGAGTAACCTTAATAAGTTATTAAGAGTTATTTCTTCTCAAATCAAATATCTTTCGTGCTTACATTGTTTGAGTTAATAAACTTAAACGGTTTAAGGCGATCGGTTTGACTCATCAGGTTTTACAGTGTAATATTAAGTACCCGAGGTAAACAAAAGTACAGTAAAGTACAGTTTAAGTTCCTGATGAACCTGACAGTGAAATGTTGTTTCCAGTTTGGTGTGACGGGTTAAATTTGAGAGAAATGCTTCCTCTGATCCAGTTTTTATCACAGAGGATGCCTCAGGCCACCACTTTCATCTGCTGCTCTTCTTAATTAATCACACTTCCAGCAGCAGAGTTCAGCTTCCTTCAGGCTTTTTAATTAATAACCTTCACTGCAAAACATTCATTACAGCCACCTGACAGATGAGAAAGTGGAGGACATTTGTCATACTGCAGAACCTCATACAGCCTACAGATTTTTACCATTTATTAATTCTGTCCATTTGTAACATCACACATGTTTAAAACCAAGAGGTAGTTCAGAAAAGATCCCCCCTCCCAGCTCAAACAACGATCAATCAAATCCTAGATTATTCAATATCAGTGTTTTTAAATAGATTAGATTAGAGAATGATTGAAGTCACAGAAAGCTCACTTTAATTGCAGTTCTGGTAGGTACCCTGTAGTGTCAGTTGTGCACATTCAGTCAATGCAGTTACTAAATTAGAAATAATAAATATGCAATGTCCAGTTAGATTAGTTTACTGAGAAGAATTTCACATTTTATGAGTTTAAACCTCTGTTTAGTATGTTTTACAAACAAAAACTACTTGGATAGGTTTGGGAAAATTTTGTAAGTAAATAATGTACTGTTGAACTTAAAATTAGAAGCCTGTCTCCTTTACTAGCCTGGTGTGGCTACACATTTTGACAAATAAAAGCAGGTCTCAATTAAACACCTGGTCTGGATTTTATAGAATTTCTTTGGATGTATAAAACCTCTTTAAGCCCAACAGGTTGCTTGCTTGAGTTTTGTGCAAAATAAATTAATGTCCTGTCTCATATAGAGGCATGTTCCAAATAAAAGCCTGGGCTATTAATTAAAGCCTTATGGTAACTTACATAACAATGTAAAGCTCTGTGGTCAAGTTAGCAACAATTACAATGCAACATCTGATCAAGTTAGCAATAATAAATAGGCTACGTCCAGTTAGAATTTCAAAATAAAGCTTGCTGAGCTGCCATATTTACCAACTTGGGAGCAAGAACAAGAGTCTCCAGTGTCAAAGTCTGTCATTTTTAAACACCAATACAAAGAAATTCATATTTTATATTTTGTCTGTTAATCTTATAAACAAAGAACCCCGTTATTGTTGTCTCATAGAGCTAAGACTGAACGTGATTTCAGTTGGACTTTGTTTGACATTTTCCATAATAGTTCCTTGTGTTTCGTGACTTGTGCTTTTGCTGGTTGGATTCCCAGAATGGACAGAAAATTAGTTTTTCATTTGTTGCTGCTCAGCAAAGAAAACCATCACTGCCAAAGAAAATCCTCAAAACAGACTAACCCTCTGTGTGTGTGTGTGTGTGTGTGTGTGTGTGTGTGTGTGACCGGCATGCTGCAGTGTTATGGGCCGGCAGCTGTCCTCACATTCCAGACTGATGGAGGCAGGAAGGAGGGCAACGTCTCCCATCAGATAAAACCACCTGCAGTGGACACAATTATTTCCTGATGTGGGTTTTATGTACCAAAATCTACCTTCAGTCCACGGACGCTGAACGTTTTTCTGTCACTCCTTTTATTTTCAGTTGATACAGGTTAAACCAGGTTAAAAGCTAATGGAATAATATAATAAAATAATAATGATGTAATAGTTCCTATTGAGTTTAACAGGATTAAGCTCAACAGGACAGCGTATTATAGATGACACATGGTTTTCAATTTAAACCCAACATTTCCAGACTGATTCACATTAAAGGCACACTGCTGCTTACACCCAGTCACACAGTCACTGTCACATTTACTCCTACGATATGAGGAAGGGTGTTTTATCTACAAACCCTTTACAGTCGTTCTTTAAACATGCTGAATATAATAATCATATTTCACTACTTTCTGTTTAAAGCCAGGGTCTGCAACCTCTATCCTGCCTGTGACTTTGACAAAGGATGATATTAAAATGAAAAACAGTTATTATTATATATGTTATTTTTTAACATCTATCATTGTTGTAGGCCTAAAATGATTCATAACATTCTCCAATTGTACCATTGTGTAGTTATTACACACCAAATGAAATATGAGTCATACATTACGTCCTGGTGTCTCTTTTTGTCTCTTGAGACCACCCTTGCTTCAGACGATGTCGTCTCATTTTCAAGTGACCAATCATATACTAGATGGGGGGGGGTCCGTCAAAACTGCGCAGCCAATGAGAGCAGCTCAACTCGCAGTACGTCACCTCCGCTGGCTACGTCTTACTGTCATGGCGGCGGCCAAAACAGCAAATTCGTTCTCCACAAACCTATCGGTGACATCACAGTAGCCTCACACTTGGTCTCTGCTGAGCTTTAAGATCTGCTCAACTAGTCTTTATGCTAAGCGAACTGGCTGGTTATAGCCTTATATGTTTTTGTGTTTTCATTAGTTTTGGCCACAATCGTCAGTTTCTGTTTGAATTTTCTGGCAAATTTGCGACTTATCAACTGACATGTTTCATTTTGGGTGGATCCAACCGTTTGTGTATTTATGAAAGAGATCCCCAACGTCTGCAGATTTCCAGAGGGTTTGAAACACCAACATCTGGTTGAAGACTTCACATACGGGGAGGGGGGGGTTCTTTCATGTGTAAATCCTGCAGTTACAGATACAATCTCTTTAAAGAGGCGTGAAATAATCAGTTTCTCCTTTGACCTTACATGGTCCTGATGGTCAGCACATAAACCTCCTGAGATCAGGTTGTTTAATATGAAGCAGACACAGGGAGCATGTAGAGGCTGGGTATACAGGGAAGAAAACTGGGTAGTTTATTGTCTGATACCTTTTGATGGAGAAAATCTAGTTTCATCAGAGGAATTGAAACCTGCAACCTCCAGGTTTTCTACTCGAGTTGCTGAAGAACGTCTGCCTTCCTGGGCGAAGACAAACTGCGACAATTATTTCATCACTTAATGAGAAGAATGAAATGGATAATTTCTGCTCAAAGCCTTGTCTGCTGATAAATGATGATAAATGATAAAGTGCTTCTGCTGTAAGGCAGGCAGAAAGAGTTCATGAGAAAATATTCCAATTATTTTTCCACCCAGACATGATGGATTATTGGGCCGGGAACAAATTAATCAACTAACAGATAAAATGACTGCGAGCCAGGCAGAGAATGAACCCGCTGTTTGAGTCCTCGATTGGCGGAAATTTCCTCTTTTTGTACTTGTACATGTAAAAAGAAAGAAATGTAATATAATGTTCTCAGGTATGTTTTCCTTCGTGTATAATCACCTGAAAATAAGAACTGTTGTGTTTCTGCTACCATACATTGCTACAGGCCATCCCAAACAATCCAAATGTTCTTAAATAAACAATAAAAAGGAATTTGTCACTTTATTGGTCCTACCCTTAAAATAATGAAAATAATCTCGTTCCTCTGCTCCGGATATTATGCAAACCATTGTTGGAACAGGTTACTGGTTAAATAGCTCAATATTAGCTGTGATAATATTGCATAAGCGAAACAAAGTTTCTGCTTTTACTACCAAAAAACACAAGTAGCTAAATAATCTGCATCAAGCATTAGCTCGCTAGTTAGTCGGCGTTTTGCTACAACGCAAACCACTAGCTAACTAGCGAGCTAATCTACTTGAATTGTTAGCTAGCAAGATCTGAAAGCTAAATAAAATCAAACAATTGTAACTTTTTCCTGGTTAAATGGAGCTCAGTATTAGCTGTAATACCTTATTAACACTAAGTTTGATATATTTTATTTACCTTCCTCATGCAATGCAGTGGCCGCCATGTTTCTACAGTAATGTGAATGAAAGAGAGCGGGACGTTTCTGAACGTCCTAATCAGGACTCGTTGTCGGCTGTTTACTGAGGGCGCTGCTCGACATGGAGACAGAAGTCGTCTGATGAAAAGAAACGTCTGAGAGGAGATTAAACAACAGAAGAGAACATTAAACTGTTCTGTCAAACACAGAGCCAGCGCTATCAGTCATCGTACTGTAAAGATGTTAGTGGGTCACTCAGAAAGAACCACATATCTCCGTCCTGATCTCAGACCACAAACATCTCCTGTTTGTCCCTTTTCTGCTCGCTCACTTGAAATAGTCCTCAGAGAGAAATTAAACTGATATCTACAACAACAGTAATTTCTACAGTTAATCACTCTTTTGGTAGTTCGATGAGATTAGATAGACTTTATTAATCCCGGAAAGGAAATTGGGTATTTCTTTTGGGTGTCTCTGTCCTTATCTGTTATTATGGCTCTCAGGATGGCAATACTACAGACTGAAATATCTCAACAATTACACTGCAAAAGAGGAATCTCAAGAAAGTAAAAAGGTCTTGTTTCTGGGAAAGTAGTCTTTTTTTTAAAGCATGTTTTACATTAACTGCAATTTCAGCTGGGGATCAATAAAGTAGTAGTCGTAGTTTTTCATCGTTTTAATAAAAAATATTTAAAAATAAGCTGTTCAAGTGAGGACAGTAAAAGAAGAGATCTGTGTGTTCAGGATGAAAATGTTAAACTGAGGGACAGTAAGTGTGTCCAACTCTTCCTCACAGGTTAGTTAATGACAGACAGTCAGTGAGTGTGTGTCCAACTCTTCCTCACAGGTTAGTTAATGACAGACAGTCAGTGAGTGTGTGTGTGTCCAACTCTTCCTCACAGGTTAGTTAATGACAGACAGTCAGTGAGTGTGTCTGTGTCCAACTCTTCCTCACAGGTTAGTTAATGACAGACAGTCAGTGAGTGTGTCTGTGTCCAACTCTTCCTCACAGGTTAGTTAATGATGTTACTGAGTCAATGTGAGCAGATTGTGTCTGTAGACTGAAGAGAATCAGAGTCTCACTGATGGTGGAAATAAAGGTTTTACTTCCTTAAAACAGCCGTTTTTTGAATGGAGTTTGGTGTGACAGTGTGGAGCAGAGGGGATTTGAACCTTAATAATTCCCATAAACTGAGCTGACCGACCTTCTAATAATGAACCTTGGAAACAGCAGAAAGTAACAGGAAGTGGAGATAAACCCTCCTGTTCTCTTCTTCTGTGGTCTCGTAGTAAAAGGTGGATTAATAAACACAAACCCTGGAATCAGTTTACAGTAACGTCACATTGGACAGACGACAGAAACAGTGACAGATGGCAAAACTATGAGATTGAATTATGTAGCTGCATATGTCAGGACACTCATTTTACCTCTATTTCTTTCATTTCAAATATATAACGACGCTGATTGTTCATCTGCGAATACATAACATAATTGCTTGCCTTGCTGACTGTCGGATTTAGGCTCCTAAAAGCTAAAAGGCAATATAATATTCTTATTTTGTGGTATTAAATTGGCAAAGACCTCTTCACTCTTCAATTTACTTTCACTACCAGTCAAATTAGAGGAACATGACGCGAGGCCAAAGTACCCGGATAGGTTGTTCTCATCTGTGACAAAGATAATACGGAGGATAGAGTGAAATCTCAGAGGGTTTTCTCCAGGAAACTCTTACAGAGAATATCTTTGATATAATAAAACTTCAAACAGTCTGAGACCCAGAGAGAGGCTTTGATGTTTGCTTAGAAACTCTGCAGTGACTTTATAGAAGTAACAGACTTTTAAATTCAACCCATTTTAATAAGAACAATTGGATGTAGTTTGGTTTAAATGAGGCTTAATGGAGCAAAAAGACCCGACTTCCTCTATAAAAGCTGGTTTATAATTGTTTGTATCCTTGTGTCCTGCTTTAAACTTTAATCTGCAGAAAGAAAAAGGCAGTTTTTTACAGCCTGAGAATAAATAAGAGAGAAAAGAAAAACATTGTAATTGCAGACACGAAAAAGCTCTGATTGCCCGGTCACCAAAGAACATCCCCCGAAATAAAGGGACATGATTGCTGAGGAGGAATCAATACAAGGAATCACATGAATAATAACGAGCTGGATGCTCGTTAGTGAGGTTTCATTCTTTAGCTTATAACTCATTCAAACATGGATCAAAACACCCAATGCATCTATTAAAATGTGTTTTAATTAGTCTGCTTTGATTCCTGGAAGGCGAGCAGGGACTCCGGCTCCAGACCGAGTCAATCGATGCGGAGCTGTGATTAAAGATCCGCAGGTCAATTAAGCCTCATCCTCATCTTCATGCCAGACGCCTCGCAGGAGCACGAGGAGGAGGACAGACTGAAAGAGGTCCTCAACCCTGGAACGTGTTATTTTAGCTGTAAACTGAATTATAAGACTGTACTGTGATCAGTGCTGCTCTTTATATCCACATTATTATTATTAAGATATTAAATTCTGTATTTTGCGGGTTGAAAATGTCTCAACTTGCCCTCTAATGTTTTAAATCAGAAACTGAAAACAGTGTTGACGCAGCAGCTAGCTTAGTTACAAACAGGTCGCACACAGAAACCTTAACAGACAGCGTGAATGTGCTTCTAGTGACTGTAAACGCTGCAGCGGCCACTGAGGGTCTGACAGCAGCCGCTCATCAGCTCTGTTAGCTCTGTTAGCTCTTACTACCAGCTCGCTGTTCCTGCTACACTGCTGTGGTCAGTCTGTCAATCACTGCGGTCGCTGTCGAGGCCACGCCCCCTACAGTCACTGCCGTAGCTGGGAGGGGCTAGCAGAACTTAAGGTGTAGTTACACTCTAAAGATGCAGGACAAGTGTGAACCTGTCACATACACAAACACACATATGAAAAGATGTGTGTGTTCAGAGATGTTTGATGGAAACTTCCAGAAAAGGTCCAGACATGGCCGTCCGGGTTCAGTTTCATAAGAAGGTGGAGTCCAAGGACACACACAGCGAGTGTGAAAGGAGCAGTTTTATAAGCAACACACAGAGATTTCCCTCTTTGTTCTCGGCTGTCAGTAAATCTTTTGTCCTCTTGTTGGCCTTTCATTCGCCTGCATAAACAGACGGGAACGGGACAGAGAGGAATGAAAGAAGAGGATGAATCCATTTCAGACCCGAGGCGACAGCTCGATTGTCTCCGTGAAAAAGAAAAACTGCTGCATGGATAAAAGAAGGAGCAAAGTCGTCGCCCAGAGGAAGGACTCAAACGTCTCACGGTGAAATGTCAGCGCACAAAAGCAGCAGATTGGCACAGCGAGGAAAACCTGGAAGCAGACGGGACGTCTTGTATGGCTGCCAGGACCTGCTCAGACCACCTCAGTCCGGTTTCTGGGTCAGGACATCAGAGGACAGAGACACTTTCTGTGGTCTCATTGATGTTTTTACTCTCCTTGATCACTGATACTGAAGTCCAACTCTTTATTTCTGCAGGATGACGCCTGAAAACATACAAATATATATATATATATTGTACTGGACCTTAAAGACTCACATGTAAAAGAATAAAATAAATAAACTGTACATTACTAATTTAGGTTACATTGTTTATCCAGTGCAGTTAACTCCAGGAATATCGGTATCGGAACAATTAACACAAATCCAAACAATCCCTGTGAATTCTGTGTAATTTTGTTCAATCACCGCGACAATCGTTGCAGTTGCAGACGAGTTGCTTTTGATTCTGTTACTTTTCAATGTAATTGGTTAAAATTATTTATTGCGTTACAGTTTATAAGTACATTTTGTGAGTTTTGATTAAGTACTTTTCATTATGTATTTTGTTTTTTTAACTTACAAAATGTAGTTGTATGTGTCAGTTTCAAAGATTTTTGAGTTCAATTAACTTATCTGGTATACCAAAATAATATAGTTTTCACTTTCTCCTACAATTTAACTGCAAAGAAAGTCCTAAAAACTGATTAATGAATCCCAAATAAATAACTTTAGAGGTCCAGTGTGTAACATTTAGGATCTGTTGGAAAAAACTGAACATAAAATTGTTTTTTTGTAGGTTTTCATTAGTGTCACCTGACAATAAGCATTGTTGTGTTTTTGTTACCTTAGAATGAGACGTTTTTATCACAGACGGAGCGGATCCTCTTCTGATGGAGTCCATGTTAAACCGCCATGTTTCTACAGTAGCCCAGAGAAGACAAACCAAATACTGGCCATAGGGGTTTTCATGTTTGTTTTTTTCACACTTTTACAGCTCGCTCTCTTTCCCAGGTCATCAAAGAGACGCGAGCAGTGTTCAGTTAGTTGCAATCTGGAATGTCACCACTAACTCCTACAGTGCGTTTGGTAACAGCAGCAAAAAGTGATGAATAACAGCTGAAAGCCGACGGAGGGAGAAACGAAGGAGCAGAGAGAGGATGAAAGAGAGACGGAGACTGCTGGAGTGTGAGGGAGGTCAGACTAATCAGCTCCACATCACAGGAAACGAGGGACGAGAGATGAAACGAGAGCGATCCTCTCAGACCCTCGAAGCTGAGGCAGCTTTTTAATCAAAGATCTTCACCGTCAAACAGGACGTGTTGTTGCACTTCATGCTGTCCAATATCCACTGGCAACAAAAACAATTGTACAAACACACAACTTTATCAGTGATTTCCAGGATATTTGATCATTTTAATCAATTTCCAGGTGTTTCGAGGACGAGTTGGAACCCTGTTATACACTAATCTCTTCCTGTGACGTCCTCAGGACACATCGACTCCTCAACATTAACCTTTACGGATATTTATGGTTTTAAGTGTTCAACCTTTTGGGTGCAGGACGTTTTCACTGACCGCTAACTCTCAGTGAAAACCTATAAATACCCCCCCCCCCACACACACACACACACACACACTGTAAAACACGCAGTGAGCTGGTGCAGATCCATCACTCTGACTCTCTCCTGGTTTCTGTCCCACAGAAACAAAAGAGTCTTTGTTCTGGATCTGGACCGGGTCTCTCCTCCCTGCAGCCGAGCCAACTTCTCCACACGAGGATTCAGGAATTAGGCAATAAAAAAAAAAAGGAGGCATTCGAGATAAATCCCACAGCTCATGAAACAACCCCCCGCCGCCGCCGCCGCCGCCACCAACCCTGCAGACCACGATCTGGTTTCTGCTGCAGGGTGTGAATGGAGGGTTGACCTGCTCCGTGCTGAGGGTTCGGTTGTGGCTCCACATTTTATTCCTGTGACGGAGCAGAAACACTAAACTGCTTTTAATAAACTGAATGTGATTGTAGGGAAACTCTTCATTCCAGTGGAGGAGTCAGTTATCTTAGCTGCGTGCCTAACAGAGCTAACAGCTGTTGACATTACTTTTAGTTTTCCTCACAGAAGTAAATAAAATACTGAGATATATTCCGAATGTGTGTGTCTTCTTACCTCGTGACCCCCTCATGCAGCTTTGGTGACCCCTGGTGGGGGTCCCGACCCTCAGGTTGGGAACCGCTGTCTTAGATATCAGTCCACACTCGTTTAGTTTCTCCACCTTAAGAGTGTGTGTGTGTGTGTGTGTGTGTGTGTGTGTGTGTGTGTGTGTGTGTGTGTGTGTGTGTGTGTGTGTGTGTATGTGTGTGTGTGTGTCTGTGTGTGTGTGTGTGTGTGTGACTGTGTGTGAGTGTGTGTGTGTGTATGTGTGTGTGTGTGTGTCTGTGTGTGTGTGTGTGTGTGACTGTGTGTGAGTGTGTGTGTGTGTATGTGTGTGTGTGTGTGTGTGTGTGTGTGTGTGTGTCTGTGTGTCTGTGTGTCTGTGTGTCTGTGTGTGTGTGTGTGTGTGTGTGTCTGTGTATGTCTGTGTGTGTGTGTGTGTGTGTGTGTGTGTGTGTGTGTGTGTGAGTGTGTGTGTGTGTGTGTGTGTGTGTGTGTGTGTGTGTGTGTGTGTGTGTGTGTGTGTGTGTGTGTGTGTGTGTGTGTCTGTGTGTGTGTGTGTGTCTGTGTGTGTGTGTGTGTGTGTGTGTGTGTGTGTGTGTGTGTGTGTGTGAGTGTGTGTGTGTGTGTGTCTGTGTCTGTGTGTGTGTGTGTGTGTGTGTGTGTGTGTG